GATAGTTTTTGAATGCATATTATGCCTTTAAAGCTGATATAATTTAAAGCCGAAAGGAACTAATTTTTACTAAATTTGACGGACTGAACCGATATTCATCAAAATCCATTTAATTTAAGCTGATATTACACTTTTTGAAATCGGATGAAGATATATATTAGAGGTATATCCAAATCGGAATCGATTTCTACGAAACTTAACATATGCATTTCTATGCTGTATCTAATAGCTGGGACCAAATATCGTTGTTGTGGAGAGCATTTTACGCGTGTGGGGGAATTAAATACAAAATCGTATAAAATATATATATATGGAACCTACAGGGTGAGATGAAAAAACTGCAAGCAAACTGCTGTCATTTCCAAGCCACCCGTCCGACAGCTGTTAAAATCATTCCAGGTACAGCTCATTTTATTGTTTACAAGCGTACAAAAGCATTTTGGTGAGAATTTTCCGCAGGCCATGGTGATGGTGTGGGCCACCATAACAGCCGATGGTCGCTCTCCGCTCGTATTAATCGACCGTGGCATCAGAATAAATGCCGAATATTATCGCAAAAATATTCTGGAGGGTGTATCAAAGCCTTGGGCACGCAAACATTTTTGACGCAGACCTTGGACCTTCCAACAGGACACAGCACCATCACACTCAGCACCATCGCACCCAGCACGCGTCACCCAAGAATGGTTACAAAATTAGGTTCCTCGCTTCATTTCCAGCGCACAATTGCCACCAAAGTCTCCGGATAACCATCCGTTGGACTATTGTGTCTGGAGTGTTTTGAAAGCAAGGTTGGCACAAAAAAAAAAAAAAACAAAAGTGTCGATCACCTTAAGCAAGCGCTTCGCCGGGAATGCATCAAAATACCGCACAGCAACATTCGGGCAGCGTGCGACAGTTTCATTGGCCGTTTGAAGGCCAATTCGAACAAATCTAACCTTATTCTAAAATCTGTTGCTATTTCCGACATTTTTTGTTTTCATTCAATTAAATTAAAAAAATGTAAAGATTATGGCGTTTGACTTTGTTGCAGTTTTTTATCTCACCCTGTATTTTGACAACGAGATGTCATCAAACGAATAATTTTGAAAAAAAATGTAAACATATGTTTGCGTGACCTTACCTTCCTGAAACTGCCATGAATTTTCATTTCAAATTTTCATAGAACGAAAATTGACCCTCAGGCTAAGTTACTCGTAATAGCAAATCATTACCGAAGAAAACAATGCTAATGCTTTACAAAACTAGCATTAGACCTGTATTGGAGTATGCACTACCTATATGGTTTCCAATCTATCCAACGGTAATGAAAGAGCTTGGGATATTTGAAAGAAAAATACTCCGTCTCTGCGTTGGAAAAATTTTCAATACCATAATAAGCATTACTCACATGATCTAATATTTGTAAAAACAGCACTTTTCTGTTTCTGCATTTGAGTCATTTATTTACACCTTTCTTGGGAGACGTTGCATAAAGATTAGACTAACATACATATATTTTAATTAGATCTAATGTAAATAATTATATTACAATGTACGAACTTTGTTTGGGAGGTGCCAGAGGAGTTGGATTAAAACTCCAATATTCACATCAAATTTATGATTGGAGTTATTTCAATTCAATATATTTGCCTTTCGTAGGGGAGGGGCCCAGACTCTAAAACCATTATTAGAATGAGGCACATTTTGGTCCAATGTCATACTTTCTCTAGTGGTTATAAGGTTATGAGGGTAAGCAAAGGTTATATTCGGGCGGGCCGACCATTTGATACGCTACAACACTACGATTTCGGTAAAATTTCTGCAGATCAGAAACCTTTTTAAATAGAATTAAGATTCCCTTAAAAGAAAACACCCCTATGTCTCCTATTTTTCAATAATCATCATAGATCTGGAACCAATATATTTAAAAAAACATGCGATCTCTAAACAAGAATCGGTATTTGATGAAACAGATATTCTACTACGTCAAATACCTAATTCGCTCTATCGGAAACAACAATAAATTGACATTCTAAACATTTTCCCATACATATTAGACATTTTGTTTTCATTTTGTTCTTGAAATAATGTCACACAGTCCAGCAAAAGTCATCGAAATCTTCGTAGCAGTTGCCCTAATTCACACCCTATTTCAGGTTTTTGGTTATTCAAAACAATATTTGCAAATTTAAAGGTCAGAGACGCGCTTTAATGTATTTGTGGTTTCGTTAATGTTGGTATTTTTTTCACAGAATATGTTTATCAATTTCACCATCAAAATGCTAAGCTTCAGCGCTGTCCTAAGCTCTAACCTCATAAAAAACTATGTCTATTGGCCTTTACTTGAGAACAGTAGGACGATTGAAAAATATAGACAACTTTTAGGCTTTTGATTCATCTTAAATCTTAATATTTTCCTAATATCTTCCAAAACACTAGACTTCCATATTGATCCATACTCTACCCCAGTGCAAAATTTCATGAAGATCGGACGATCAGTGGAATTCTCTAATCATGTTTTGAGTTACCGACAAGACTCAAAGGTAAAATTGAAATACTTATAATTTCGGTAATTAACGAAATTTGTCGGTAAGTTAGCGAAGAAATCAAAGTAGTCGCTTAGACCTATCCATAGATACCAATGTTGTCAACTATAACTTGTTCTTTATAAAAAATTTTTGGTTTCAAAATTACCGAATTTTGTGGGTAACTCAAAAATGAGTTATAGAATCCGAAAAAATATTACAAAATGTACAATTTAATATTGTAAGCCAAATTGCAAAAATCTCATTCAATAAAAAATAGACAAAAAATAAAAGAACAAGTAAGCAAAGGCTACATCACAGGGGGCCCTCTTATGTCAAAATCCATTTTGGAAGATTTTGCTTTTGAAATTATGTCATAGAACACTGCCCAGATATTACCCTTAGTTTTTTGACCAGGGACATGTGCCCAATATTTACGCACTCCATAGTGCTTTTAGTTACAGCTAAATATAATCACATGGTCATCTAAATGCTAGACTTCTTCCCTGTCTTGAACTCTCTTCTCATGCAAAATTCGTGTCTATTGGTTTCAATTGTGTGATCAGGGATATTTTTCTGTTTTTGGTTAATTTGAACCCCTAAATATTTTGCGATCATCTCCAAATGCAAGTGGCCCCTCTGTATCTCCAAATTTAGACTCATCTATATTATTTGCTTGTCTACGATATTTGGCTATATTCGACAACGAAATCAGCACAAGTTTGCCATTTGTGTATTTTGGATTTCGTAGGTTATTTTCAACGTTTCGGTAGAATGGAAATGTTGGTATTTTTTCACACAAAAGTTGTGGTTTAGTGTCCTTTGGTTTCTATTTGTGACCTTTATAACGGCTGAAAATCAGGAACATTTTTGTTGTTGGTCCATTTCAACCCCTAAATATATTGCGGACATCTTTAAAAACAATAGCCCTTCTGAGCCTAACCCTACCTTTATGAAAATTTTAGTGAGGATCGGACGATAATTTCAATCTGTATATAATAACCTCAAGCTGTGTTGTAAGGTGGAAAAAATATTACAAAATATACACTTCCAAGAGGGCATTCTGAATTGACAAATTTTGGCAAAATCGGTCAAGCCATTCTTGAGATATAAGCATTCTAGCTAACATCCCTTTCCTTTGTATATGCACATTGTATCTATTTCGCTAAATATATATATATCCGATATATTTACTATCCGTATCTACGTAACTGTCTGAATTGACCATTTCGTCTATTTGTGATTTTGCCGGGATTAAAAATATTCGCAGTTTAATGGAAAATTTGACTTTTATTTACCACAAATGTAATGGTCTATTTTACCCACTAAATATTGCCCGATGACCATTGAACTTCCAAGGCTTTGCTCAGCCCTAAGCTCTAGCCCCATGCTAACCTCCGCGTCGATTGGTCTATAAATGCGACCTGTAGAGAAACTGCAAAATCAGGAAACTCTCCTATTTTTGGTCAATTTCAACCCCCAAATATTATGCGATCATCTTCTGACCATAACCCCACCCCACTTATAATACCCCCAACACATAGTGTTGTAGGGTATTAATATTACAGAAAAATATTTATATTTTTATTAGCATATTTTATACGATTTTCTAGATTTTATTCTTTTCTGTCAAAAGGCCATTCTGAATTAATGAGAATTGTCAAAACCCGTCGAGCCGTTCTTGAGTTATAAGGTGTTACATAATTTTTGGCCCAATCAAACTTGTACCACCCCCAACACATATGCTTTGTTTCAAAACTGCAAGAAAGTAAAAATTTATACTACAATAACCGACTTTCCCTTGCAAATTCTGGAACAGACCAATAGTGTTGTAGGATATAAAAATCGGGTACATTCTCTATCAATAAAAGGAATTTTTGTGTAGAAAAAAGCTTGCAAGTGATTTTTCCCCAAACAGAAGACCCTTCACCTTTATATACCATGAGCCCAAATGCATTTTATTCAAATTTACTAGTGAAAAAAAGTGAAAAAATTCAACAGTTTTCTTCTTTATTTATTCATTTGCAACATTGCCACTGCATTTACTTACAACAGCAACAACAATCCACACATTGTTTCGAAAACTTAAGTCAAGGGGAAAAACCACATGTCATAGAAAAACGACAACAAAAATATCAATAAACAAAAAAACTCTCTTACCCACAACCCCGAAAAGGCCAATAGTAACAACAACGAAAAAGCACATCCGGATAAAAATGACACACTCATTTACATTGACACATTCGAAATTGCATGGCAAGAAATGAGAGATGACAATCTTAACTCATCACTGACTGAATGACTGACTGACTCAACAGCCCATCCAGCCATGAATGGTCATTACGATGAAGGAGAAATAAAAACAATTTTCAAGTGCTGAACATACAGCACGTATGTATGTGTGTGTGTGTTGTTGGTCCCCCAGATTACAATGTGGGAGAGTTGATTTCCCTTTTTTGCCATTCCCTCTTTTACTTTGTTTTATTTACATACCTGTTGCAGTGAAGGCATTGTTTTGAATAGAAAATACAATTTCCACACAGAGATTTGTTTTTCCTGTTCCCAGTATTCCTCGGCTCTTGTGGTTGTTGTTGTTACTCCTGCAGTGGCTGATGATAAGGATGTTTGCTGTTGTTGCTGCCGTTACTTCGTTTCAGTTGTGGTTGTTTCTCTGTTTTTGAGATTCAAAGTCAATTTGTTGGTTCGTTCACTCGGTGGGTCGACACAGCCGGTATGCCAGCCTACCTAGCTTTTAACTCTCGATTTGTTTGTTTGCAAAATAAGTCTCAGTTTTGCTGTTACTATTGTATGCAAGGTGTCAATGGAGGAGTTGTACACGGCCACAATACAAACCAAAACTCTGACGTGCACACAGACACACGAACATACACAATATCACGAAAGGAAAGCACGAACCGGCTTTTGGTCCGTTAACACGAAGCCAACAAATCAAACAACAAACAGACGACACCAGGAAGAGTTCGTTCGTGTACAAATAACGTAAACATGCATTCAATGTCGAAGAGATTTGCCTATTTTAGCACTCTCACAGAGTGGAATAAACAAAAAATGTTTGGAAAATTGAGAGAGAGCACTTCAAGAATTCGAGAATGAGAATACGGCACGCACCCAAAAACCACGTTGTATTGCTTATCCAGAAAACAGCTGTTTTTCTTTCGGCCTTAGAGAGCCAATGACGAGTATGTGAACATGGGAGCGTATGTGTGCACGTGTTCTTTGCAGACTTTCATCAACACAAGTGGGTAATTCTCTCTCACTTTCTCTCTGTTCCTCACAATATAGAGACTGTGTGTGTTATAAAACTTCCGCTTCCGCAAACTGGAAAATGTTGTCTCAGAAGGCGCCACTGATATCTGTTCTACAACTCTAATTGGAGAAGCTTTGCAACATGTCGTGGTTGCAAGTCCTGGCTGTATAATAAATAACAACCAATGTGTGTATGAGTCGGTGTTTGCAATGCCGGTTTGTTTGACAACTTTTTTATATTTTATCGGGGAGTAGTTACAGTTCCGTTGATAGTTGTGTTGTAAAAACCGTAGTAGTTTTTGTTGCTTTTGTAGTAGTTTTTGTAGCAACAAATATTCTGTTTAGTTGTGCTTTAGTGGTTTCATCATTGAGGAACATTTATTATTTATTTATGTACACACGTCGTCGTCGTCGTTGTAGTCGTCTTGTTCAACGTCTCACCTCTGTGGTTTTTCGTTTCCAGCTCCACCAGATGATGATGTTGAGGATGCTATCCTTCGTTTCCTTTATTTGTGTGTTTGTGGAACAGTGTTGGTCCTGTTCGTTGGGTTTTTTTTTGTATTTGTTGTCTTGACTTTGTGTTCTTGGCTTACTCTCGTTGCCAGCACTCACCGTCACCGTTACTGATGCCGCTGCCACTGCTCTTGCCTTTGAATGATGCAAATTTTATGCCTTGTTTTGATATCTTGCCACACACAATAATTTTGATTTTTCGCACATAATACGAAATCCTGTTGAAATGCTCGTTCGTGTCGCTGTTGATGTTGCTGGTACTGGTACTACTGCCACAGCTGTAAATAAAAGCCAAAGAGCAGAACAGAAAGAAAAAACACATTTTATGGAGTGAGTGAAGTGGAAATAAAATGAACACAAAAAAGTGGTAGAAAAAGAAGAAACAACTATTACAACACTAAACAATAAAAATGAATATATTTTTCTTGGGTACCCTACATTGCATTATGATAGCATTTTTATGCCGAACTAAATTTAACGGTCCCACGGTGAATAGCCTTTGATGAGTTTTAATATATATTCCAGTTTAATGTCACACCAATGGAACTAATCCTTCTCATTTGCTGAAATTCTGGTTTGGAATAGATCAGCTTGACTGACTGAGATAACTCAGTGTCATAGCAAACCTAGGGGTAATGGAATTTGGTCGGTAGAGCAAACGCCTAAAGGGCTTTGACATGTCGTAGATACCCATGGATTACCTTTTGATTTATATTGCAAGTTGGTTCATAAATGTTTAGGTTTTGGTATAACCTCATGTGTTTAAAATCTTGATTTTTTATGTTTAATTAATATTTGACAAGTACTTTCCCCTAATTTTTGAGGGTAGAAACCTTGCTTTAAAACAATCATCCGTTGAGTCCATATTTCGATGTAACGGCAGATCTGGTTTTCAAGTAAAATTTCCTAAAAATATTAAAAAAAATACCATTTCGGAGGGGATCAGAGCCCCCCTTGCTTCGCCGGTTCTTCTATGTGAGTGCTACACTGAACCGTTCAACGTTTTTATTTCGCAGGAATATCGGAGTTGTTGTTTAATCTTTAGCCATAATTTCGGTTGGATATTTTGGTTTTTAATAGGTATTAACCCACCTTTAACAAAAATTATATAGAGTCCACATTTCGGTGTTGCGATCTAATATCTCTCTTAACCACGATTTCAAATTAGAAAATGGAGATCGAAATTACGACTTCCTTCGATTAAAATCAGGAGCTACTTTAATATGAGAGCTGCATAATAGAGAAAATTTCGAGCTGGAATTTTGAAGTTTTGGCATTGGGATCCCTGTTGGTGGTAGGTCTATGATAAAAAGTGGTATTGGAAATTTGTACTACAAGTACACAAAAAGTCGTAAATAGTAATATATTTGGTACAGCTTGAAAGATAGTGTTACAGTTTAAAATACGAAAAACTGGGAACATTAAATTTTAAATCATCAAAATACCGAATATCTTCAGGTACAGTCATATAGAGACTATACCAAAACATTTACCTAAATAGACATATCTATGCAAGGAAGTTGACTACATGCTGGGAGCACACTGCTAATTTACAGCTAATTCGAATTAAAATTGTGACTGAAACACCATAAATCTGTACCAAAAAGTGGACCAACATGACCAATTTTCAATAATAATAACTGAGTAAAATTTCATCAACCGACTTCATTTCGTTCGGTAACTATAGTGATTACCACACACAGACGGAAATCGCTAGATCGACATAGAATTTTATGCTGATGTTTTTAGGTGTTACAAACTAAATGACAAATTTAATATACCCTCCATACTATGGAGGGAATCGATCTTAGAATCGGAAGACGGTTTCTAAACCTATTTATCGGGTCTTGGTGACAGTTTGGTAAGTACAGGGTGAGATGAAAAAACTGCAACCAACTTTAGACTGTTTTCATTTTTAAGCCACTTGTCCGACAGCTGTTAAAATTATTCCAGTGACAGCTCATTATATTGTTTAAAAGCGTACAATAGCATATTGGGGAAAATTTTCCAAGAAAAAGTTATTCGTGATAGTGTGATTTCTTTATATTTGGCGGATAACCACAAGTGACTATCATTAGAGCACTCCAGCATTTAAATGTGAATAAATCTTTTGTGCCTCGTACCATAGCTCGTTACCGTGTTACTGGTAGCGTAGCCCGACGTCAAGGAAGTGTATGGAAGAAAACAGCAAAATCAGCAGAAATGGTTCGAAAAGTAAAGAAGCGACTTGATCGAAGCCCACGTCGCAGTGGCCGAAAAATGGCTCGTGAGCTGAACATATCGCAATGTTCCATTTTGCAAATATTAAAAAATGAGCTCGGGCTACAGCCATTGAAATTCCAAAGAGTGCATGAGCTTACACCGCAACAGGAAAAAATAGACTCAAAAGAACTAAAGAGTTGCTTCGCTTGACCGAAAGTGGTGAACTGCCGAATTTGATATTATCCGATGAAAATACATTTGTCCAGCAGTTTGTAAACAAACAAAATGATCGTATTTACATTCCAAAGAGGTCAGCTGAAAATGTGCACCTTCGTTTGGCCACCAGAACTCGGCCATCGTGATGGTGTGGGCCGCCATAACAGCCGATGGTCGTTCTCCGCTCGTATTAATCGAATATTATCGCTCGTAAATGCCGAATATTATCGCGAAAATATTCTGGAGGGTGTATTAAAGCCTAGGGCATGGAAACATTTTGCTCGCAGACCTTGGCCATTCCAAGAGGACTCAGCACCATTACTCTCAGCACGCGCCAACTCAAGAATGGTTACAAAATGAGGTTCCTCGCTTCATTTCAAGTGCACAATAGCCACCAAAATCTCCGGATACCAATCCGTTGGACTATTATGTCAAGAGTATTTTGGAAAGCAAGGTTGGCACTAAAAAATACCAAAGTGTCGATCACCTCAAGTAAGCACTTTGAAGGAAATGGGCCAAAATACCTCAGAGCAACATTCGGGCAGCGTGTGACGGTTTCATTGACAGTTTGAAGGCCACATTTCATACCAATTCGAACAAATCTAAACTTATTCTAAAATTTGAAGCTATTTCCGAAATTTTTTGCTTTCATTCAAATTTTAAAAAAATTAAAAAAAAAAAAAAATTGACTTAAATGCAGTTTTTTTATCTCACCCTGTATGGGGTATATAGTATTTTTGGGAAATATTTAAACTTTTGTAGGGGAGGTACCAAAAGAAGTTGACTGCATATACTCATAATATCTTTTTAATGGGCAAAAGCAGTGAGTTCAATGGAAATCGGACTCTAATTTCACAATTTTCCAAATTATTAGTCTTTTCTTTTCCTTCAGATTTATGAATGTTGACGGGGAAAGTTCTAAAAGAAGTGGACCAAAATATCCCATATTTTCTGCGATGAAATATGGTAATGCGACTTAAAATGTCAATATTTCAATATTTTCTATGTCTGTTTAAGATATTATTATATATCTCAATTTTAAATGAAATCAGAAACTCCATTCAGACGGACAGATATTTTGTCAGATGAAATGAGAAAACTCCTACACAATTGGGACCTACATGTTCATTTGTCTATTGTAGTGACATACAAATATAGGGCAATACGTATTCCACTCAATATGATGCCCAAGTTTCATCCCTTTTTTCATACAAAATAAAAACCCCAAAAGAAAATCATGAATATTTTCTTCATCTCGTATATGTGTGTGTAGGTGTATGTTTTATTTTAAAGGTTATAAATATCAATAAGGTGGTTATTCATTGCATGTTCTTCACGTTGGTGAACTTGTTTTTATTTTATTTTACTTTTTCAATCTATTTTCGTTTGAATTCAAGAAAATGATTAAATAACAGACAATAGATGCAGCAACCATGAATATGTTAATTAAAAAGAAAAATAATTTGTAAATAGCTTCCTTCGATTTACATTAATGGAAAGGATAACAGTTTTAAATCTCAGCGGAACTGAAAAAAACACTTGTTGTTGGGAGTAGAAAGGAAGTAGAAATTGTAACACAAGAAAAAACATTTAATTACAAAAACATAAAATGAGAAAAATTCGAGTTCATTAAGAAGTGTAGCATTGGTTATTAGGGGAAAATATTCATGATTTTCGGTATATTGAAGGATAAACCTGCTGATGCTATTTCGTTGTCGTATATATCGGAGATGTGGAAAACTATATAAGAGGAATTTACATTTTCAAATATTGTTTTGAATACCCATTGGCACGACAGAAGGCATAAATATTGGAAATCGATACCAAAGAAACCCCGTTTGCGTGACCAAATTAAAATGGACCACAAAACGTGCATAAAAATAAAATACACATAATATTTAATTTAATAATGCTTAAGAAATAGAATTTCAGTGATCATAGGTTTTTGGGAAATATCACTTCCAGATCAATGAGGATTATTCGGAAGAAGGACCTAATAATTATAAAATCTGCTTTTTAATTGGAAATAAACGCATTACTTTTAAGCCACACTTATTAAAAATTAGAGAACGAACCTTAATATTTGGTGAAATGTATAATAGTTTTTGTAAGAAAGTACCAGAATTTCAGTTCAACAGCCAATATTCTGAAAGATCTACTGTTTATAACGACCTTTTAAATGGCCTAAGTAAGCATCATTTTATAGAGAAAATAAAGCGTTTTTAAATGTTTTATATTCAGAGAATACCTTTCAACGCATTTCTGTCCATGGAAATTTTGTCGAGAACTTTATTGTTAAGTACTTCTGTTAATAGAAAGCTTCTCTATTTATATAGAGGGTGAGATAAAAAACTGCAACAAAGTCAAAAGCCATAATTTTTATTTTTTTATTTACATTTTATTGAATGAAGGCAAAAAATGTCGGAAATAGCATTAAATTTTATAATAAGTTTAGATTTGTTCGAATTGGTCCCCTTTGGAACGAATTATGTTCTTCAAACGGTCAATGAAACCGTTACAAGCCGTCCCGGCGTAGCACGTGCTTGTGGGGATCGACACTTTGGTTTTTTTTTTATTGCCAACCTTGCTTTCCAGACACAATAGTCCAACGGATTGGTATCCGGAGATTTTGGTGGCCATTGTGCGCTGGAAATGAAGCGAGAAACCACATTTTGTAACAATTCTTGGGTGGCGCGTGCTGAGTCCTCTTGGAATGTTCAAGGTCTGCGATCAAAATATTTGCGTGCCCAAAGCTTTAATACACCCTCCAGAATAGTTTAGAATAAGTTTAGATTTGTTAGAATTGGTCAACTTTGGCACGACTAATGAGTCTTCAAACGACTAATGAAATCGCCACACG